AAAAAAAAAAAAAAAAAAGGAGTGGACAACAATAAAAAGCACGTATTCAAGGAAGACGTTTTCCATACAATTTGTGTAGAAAACGTATTCTTTAAATACGTTTTTTCAGATTTCTTTACAAAAGAAAACGTATTCAGTGAATACGTTTTACAATTAAAAAAATGGTAAAACGTATTCACTGAATACGGGGTTTTTATTTTGGTTCACTCTCATTTGTTTGTGTTTTTTTCTTTCCACACCTTAATTCTTTTTCAATTTTCTGGTAAAAAATTCGTGATACTTCTTCATGTGATTTTGTTTATCAAAAGAAAAAAAAAAAAAAAAAAAAAAAAAAAAAAAAAAAAAAAAACATTCCACATACTCATTCCTTTACTCTCAATTTTCAGCTTTAGTTACATTTAAAAAAATCCATGGCCATTCGACGCATTCTTAGACGCTCTTTATCGACTGAGAAAAGATCGAACGAAAAAGGAGTCGAGGTCCCAAAAAGGACACTTTGCTGTTTATTTGGGAAAAATGATGAGAAGAAGAGATTTGGGTTTCGTATTTGAACCATCCTTCGTTTCAAGAGTTGCTTTTTCAAGCCGAAGAAGAATTTGGTTTCGATCATCCAACGAGAGGCCTAACTATTCCGTGCAACATCCCAGTTGAGGAAAACGAGATTAAGTAGGTCTTACAGCAGTAAAAAGACTTTGTTAGTAGCTTTCATTTTCAGGACACGCAATCGTTTTTTTCTTACGAAGTGTAGAAGATACTTTGTCGGCTACAAATTGTATTCCTGGACAAATGAGTATCATCATATTAGTTCTGAAGATTTTTTAGTATACACGGAGCCATTTTTCGAGTGATTTACTTTGATATTCTTCACTGGCACTGGCAGAACAACTACATTATGCATATCATAAGTGATGCTAATTCAAGCTGTATTATGTAAATATGGTAATCGGTATAGCCATAATATGAAATGTTTCAATATAATCGATATAGCATTGTTTGTTGTACCTTCAATGTAGCTA